CGGGGCGACGGCGTCTTCGGCAACTATGCAGAGTCGGCACGCGCCGTGGTGTACGACGGCACGTGCGTCACCGCGGTGCACCATGACAGGCTGAGGTGACGCGCATTGCGCCAGAAGCGTGCACGCAGCTGGAAGGACACCTTCCTACTGGCCGATCGGTCGTCACTGAATGCTTGATACTAAGGCCGCGAGCTATGCAGGTGATCAATTGTGCAGCATGGCACGGTCAGCAGCGCCGACAGGCTGTCGCAAGGCGTGATAGCATGGCCGCAAGTACGCCGAATTCCCATGAAAACAAGTAAAAAATCGCGGAAAAAAAGAAAAAAACTCCAAAAAATCGGCGCCTGCGGCGGGCCATGGGACCCCATCTCCCCCCCGCATGGACACCCTCTGGGGCCCCCGCGCCGGCCCAGAGTGTCGCTCCTGTGTGACCGTCGGCGTCACCGCCCGTCCCGCGTCCACCCCCAAGAAGCCGAAGCCGTTGAGCACCCACGCGTGTCTCAGCTCGAGATCGTGGTAATTGGACACGTTCTGCGCCTCGAGCAACGCCGCGTTTTGAGAGAGAAGGGTCGACTCCCGAAGGAGCTGGCCTTCCGCCGTCGCGACGGTCCAGTTTTGGAAGAGCCCGCCCTCAACGGCGTAGCCCTCGTCAATGTTACCGTAGTAGGAGCCAAAGTACTTCCAAAGCGAGCTGTGGAAGAGGAAGTCGTCCCCAAAGGACGCGCCGTCTGTTCAAAGGAGGCGTGGGTGAGTGGTGGCGCGGCTAATTCACAGCCTGGGCGAGAGCAGCACACAGGCGTGCTTATCGATGAACCAGTTCCAGTAGGGCAGGCCCTCGAGGCGGGGCTCGATGGCCAGTAGCGACAGCTCGTATTCGCGCTGTGGGCATGGAGAGGGCGTGTGGAGGCAGGAGTGCGGCTGTGAAAAGCGCAGGGTGCGCAGCAGGGGACCGGAGCGGTGTGGGCATGGGGAGGGTGTGTGGAGGCAGGAGTGCGGCTGTGAAAAGCTCAGGGTGCGCAGCAGGGGACCGGAGCGGGTGCGCCACCGTGATCGCAAAGTGAAAGCCGAGGAAGCCCGGCCCGCCATGGCCCTGATCGCAGTCTTTGTCGACGGTCGCAGACGCATGCTTGCGTAGGAGGTACTCGTGCGTCCGAAAGTGCGAACCATACAGGGCTGTGCCCTCTGTCAGCGTGTGGCGCTTCATCACGTGCATCGCGGCGAAGAAATTCTCACGCTCAGTCTCTGAGAGCGAGCGGATCTCGCGGCGCATCACCGGCCGCACGGCGGCCGCCACTAGGAGAGCGGGCAGCATGGCTGGCGAGGCTCCTCGGCGGACCCTCGGTCGCTCGCGGCAGCGCGCGCCGCTTGACGGCGGGGGGGGGACAAAACGCTGGTATAACACGAAAACGCTGCCTTGGGGAGGGTACCCATTCGTTGCTGGTAGCGAGTCGACGCTGCTTGACCTGCCAGCGTCGACTCGCCCTGTTCGCAGATCTCCTCTGCTGGCGCCATGTGCCTGTCGCCGGCGCTGCAGAGCGGCGAGGACATCGTCAGCCACCAGCTCGAGCTGCAGTCGATCTTGCACGGTGTGCACCAGCGCTACGCCGGCCGCCAAGGGCGGTACAACAAGCACGACACGGCGCGGCTCCGCTACATCAAAAACACCGCCTTCCCGGGCCTGCGCTTCGGCAAGATGGTGCCGGAGCGAGACATGGCGATGCTCAGCCCTCTCCCACCGTCGCGGATCGCCCGTCACCTCGCCTCTCCGCAGGGTCATCTCTCGCGCCGTCTGCATCTCTCTGCCGGTCGCCAGCACCCGCCACCGACTGGCTGCACCGCCACTCGCGACGCGCCACCCTCGCTCACCAGCCTGCATACGCGCTACTCCCGCCGTGCCTTTGCTGCCACATGGATCGCATGTCACTGCAAACGCGCCCGCAGCCGCGCCGTAAAGGTCTGCCTTGCTGGCTGACGATCTCACTCTCCCGCTCCTATTGCATCTGCCTCCCGCCTCCCAGCTCACATTTGACACTGCAGTAGGTGCTCCTGTCGACGCTGCCGCCGCTGCCACCGCTACTGTCACCGCTCGTTTGATAATCGACGCCACGCTTAGCGGCAGCGAGATCCGAGGTTGAGTCAACTTGCCTGGTGCGCTCTTGCGCGTGCCTTCAAGATCCACAAGTCAATTTGTACCAGAAATCCAAAGGTGGTGCAAAATGGATATCTCAAGATTGGCCTTTATTTCGCGCACCTGCTCTCCGCCGCCGCCGCTTACCTGCTGGCACGCCACCGCCCCGCGTCGCTAACTCAAGCCTCCCTGCTGCATCTTGCCACCCCTGCCACATGACTCGACCGCCGTCGCTGCTACCGCCCTCCCCGCCGCCCTCGAAGGCGCCACCAGCATTACGGCCGCCTTCATATCTCATTGATGCTGCCACCAACGCCACTTCCTCGATTCTGTGCCGCTGCAGCGGCGAGGCGCCGTCGCCACGATCGCCGCCAGCGCTGCTGATAGCCTCGGAGCGTCGCCGTGGCCGCGTTCTGGTCTGCCCACGCTTCCCTAAAACGTCTAGGACGAGCTCAGAGGCTAAGGGCGCATCATGTGGGACCATCTAGCTCTACTGGGTCCGCGACGGTGGTCGGCGCACCCCCGTCTCGAACGTGTGTGCTCTCTGTCTGTCTGTCTGTTGTTTCGGCTAAGTCGTTTTGTACCGGATTTCAATGTTAGTGGCAAAACCGCGGAGCCGAAAATGGCGTTTAATTTCGCGCACCTGCTGTCCGCCGCCTGCGGCGGCGCTCCGCGCCGCTTGGGGCGCCTGCGGCGCCCCTGGGCGCGCTGCGCGCGCCTGTTTTGGGGGGGCTACCAGCACCGAAAAAGTGCCCCTTTTTGATGTGTAAACGCTGCCTTTGACAACGCCCTCGCTGCCTTTGTCGTACGTACTTTTAGCTTACTGGGCCCTACGCGCGGCGTGAGAGCTCGGAAGCGAGCTTTGCACGGCGATCGAGGATGGCGCGGTTCACCCCCTTCACCGAAGCGATGGAAATGCGTTCCGCGTGGTGTGACACAAATGAGAGGCAGGAGTGGGAAGGGTACGCGGTGCGGTCAACGCCCGAGCGTTGAGCCTTGGCTTGCGCGCAAGGCGGTTGATCTTTGCAACTGCAGGCGGCGAGAAGCCGCCGCCGAATGTCTCGTGGAGAAGCAGGTTGAACTTGTTTCGTTTGGTGAAGATCCCATCATGGTAGTGGCCACGCTGTGACTTGACGTAGCCTTGGCCTTTGTATGCGACAACGCTGTGTGTTTGCCTGAGCGGCCCGCCAGCAGGGAGGTCGATCTTCGGACGTGTCCACGTGGCAGCAGCAGGGGGCAGGGCACCAAGGGATGCTCCAACACAGGGCCGTGCGACGAGACCTTTCGCGCCGTCCTTCCCGAGAGACAGGCTGGGAGGCACTCGACATCTTTGCCGATGCCCTCACCGGCTACCGGCTTTATGATGTAACTTATTCCGGGGCCGGTGTGCGGGGAGCGAACCTTAACGACCGCCCAGAAGCTTTCTGAGCGAACCAATCGGGCCAGGATCATCAGCATATGTCCAGGGATGAGGGGAATGTGTCAGTGTGAGGGGTGCACCAACCGCAGAGCGTCGTGTTTTGCCTTTGAAAACTGAACAGTTTTTTTTAAAAACGGGCCGCCTAGTGCAGCATCACTAGTACAACACGCAACTACACTGAGGGCTCCACACTAGCCGGTATAGGCGAGCCCCGGCGGCCTCACCGTCGCCGCTCGCGGCGGAGCCGACGGCGGAGCCACGGGCGGGTGCGACCTTTTGGGGGGACATGAGCTCGCCAGAGGACGTCACCGATGGCTCGGCGCGCCTCTTCCCGCCAGCGCGGGGCGGCCCACCTACAGGAGCGAGGGGGAGGTGGTCGTGAGCTCACTTTGTCGGCCGCGCGCGAGGTGAAAACTGAGTGTGAGGCGCGCAGGAGGCGAGGGTGGGCGCGCCGGCGGTCGAGTTACCGAACAATTCGACGTGGCGCAGCTCCGCGCCGGCGGGGACGACCGAGCACATGATGTCGGCGGCGGTCACGCGACGAGGGAGAGCCGCAGGAGCCCTCTGAGAGCCAGGCGCGCGAAAGCAGCGATGAGTGGCGCCGCGATCAGCCACCTGTGGGCGGTCATCGGGGTCGCGGTCAAGCTCGCGACGGGGTGAATCTGGTGCGTCTAGTGTCACTGGTGGGCTGGGTGTGCAGCAGCCGCGCTCAAAAAGAGGGAAAAAACTCGACAACTGTTTGGAGTGTCTACTTTCTCGACACACCGTTCTCGGCCCGGCCGGAAAGCTGGCTGGTGGTCGCGCGCGGCGCGTCAGCGCCACTCCGACTGGTCGGGCACCTCGGCTGGGTCCATCGGCAAGAGGCCCGCGCCGTCGGGCGGCCCCGGGAGCGCATGATGCCCCTCCGAGAGGCGCTGACGCCCCGCCGAGATCGCGCTGGTTTGGCACGAAAAACGAGAAGCGCGAAGGGGGGGGTCCGAATAAGTTACATCATAGCTTGCTTTGGGCGGCGCTGTCTCTCACCTGGAAGAATGCCAGCAAAGACTAGCTGCACCCGTGACCCGAGCTGCAAAAACTGCCAGCGGGAGCACTAGAGCGCGCAGGGTTGACGTTGAGGGAGGAGGGCGCATGCCGAAGTATTTAATTAATACTTGAAGTAAGGATGATGATCAAAGAACCCTGCACAAAGACCGCAGGGCGGGGACCTGTTCCTTTTTACCCATCTCCTAGTAGAGGTGTCCGTTTCATTTATTTATTTAGGATGATGATGGGGGACGGAGATGGAGGTCTAGTCTCAGACACTAGAGCTCAGTTTTGCACTCTTTGTGTTTCTTCTACAAGTCTTCTTTATTTGTACCTACGGCGGTGCACTCCTCTCGTCACGGAGATACGCGCTACTAGAGAAAAGGCGCTCCGACGAATCCTCTTTGTCTGCAGACATCTCTCGCTGCCTCACAGCAGCAGTAGCTCGCGGATCGTCCTCAGCCACCGCTCTCTCCCGGCTCGCTGCAAGCCTGACCCTCCGGCAACGCCCGACGCCACCGACCCGTCCCCACCCGCCGCCTTCGCCGCGCTCGCCGCGCTCGCCGCCGCCCCGAGCCTCTCCATCTCCGACGCGTACCTATGCGAATGAATCATGACGGGCCCTCCGCTCACGGCGCCGTCCAGGTTGGGGTGCCTCCAGGCTCCGGCGCGCGCCGCTGCATCAGCGCCTTGGCGTAGCTCGGCACGTGCCTCGCCGCGCGCGTCTCGCCCATCCTCTCCTGTTCACAGCCGCGCGGTGTGAAGAGACGCTGTTCACATGCGTGCGTGTGCGCCGCCTCGCCGCTCCTGCACGTACAGCTGGTTGCGCACGTAGTGGTAGTCTATCGAGTACCTGTTCGGGCGAGGGAAGGGAAGGGAAGCTTCGCCACGCACACGAGGTAGAGGGGGAAGGGCCGGGCAGCCCTCGCGACTCCACGTCTAGACGACAGGAGCGGATGCACCTCGGCTGCATCTCGGCTGCGCCCCGGCCGCATCTCGGCTGCACCTCGGCTGCACCCCGGCTGCATCTCGGCTGCACCTCAGCTGCACCTCGGCTGCACCTCGGCCGCATCTCGGCTGCATCTCGGCCGCATCTCGGCTGCACCTCGCGAACTCGATCCCCTCGGGCAGCGTCTTCGCCACCAGAGAGGCGAGGAAGTTGCCCAGCCACGGGGGAGCGCCACGATCGGCGGGCACCTACCACACCACCCACGGGCCTGAACCCACGCTGGATTCGGTACTCTGGAGGTGTGGTGGAGCCCCCTGCTCGGCGGTCACCTGCTCACGGGTGGCGCGGTCCAGACGCCGTTCACAGATAGCGAGGGCGGAACCTCCTCTGCTCGGCGCGCACGTAGGCGGCGTCGGTCAGCGACTTCACCATCGAGTCCCCCTCCACCGTCTTCATCGCGATCAGCCGCCGGTCGCCCGCCGACGGCAGACGCCGCCCCCCATGCCCCCCCTCCTGCAGCACCTGGAGGTATGGGGAGGCATGGGGAGATATGGGGAGATAGGGGGAGATACTGGGAGATATGGGGAGATATGGCACCTCGACGCGGCCCGCCTCCACCGCCGCCCGCAGCATCGCCCTCCCCCTCGCGTTCCGCACCGTCACCATCAGAGGCGCCGTCACCATCTCGTCCGCCTGAGATTCGACATCTGCCGAGATCAGCCGAGATCGCAGCCAGCGGCGCCTCACGATCTCGTCCGGCTGAGGTTGGCGGAGATTGGCCGAGATTGGATGAGATCGGAATCAGAGGCGCGTGGCGGCCACCAAACGAGATGTGCCGAGATCGGGGGAGAACGGGGGAGAGATACCTTCGCGTCGAACGGCGCGCCCATGTACCCCACCACCAGATCGGCGAGGCCTAAAAAAGAAACATGGCGTGAAACAAGAGACGTAGTCGCCCGCCACCAGATCGGCGAGGCCTGAAAAAGAAACATGGCGTGAAACAAGAAACGTAGTCGCCCGCCACCAGATCGGCGAGGCCTAAAAAAGAAACATGGCGTGAAACAAGAAACGTAGTCGCCCGCCACCAGATCGGCGAGGCCGTTTGTGTAGTCGAAGCAGGCGAAGCACGAGGGGGCGATCGAGGGGATGCCGACCGAGGGGGGGAGGGTCATGTAGGCTGCCTTGACCACGCTCTCGCGGCCTATGGGAGATCTCGGGAGATGTGGGGAGATCTGAGGAGATGCGTAGGCTGCCTTGACCATGGTCTCGCTGCCAGGTGCGTCCGCCTCGAGGCTAACTGCGCCGCCACCGCCACCTCCGCTGCCGCCACCGCCGCCACCGCCGCCCCCGCCTCCGCCAATCCCGCCGCCGCTACCCTCACCGCCGCTGCCGCCGCCCCCGCCATCCCCTGCACCGCTGCCGCACTCCCCGCCGCCGCCCTCTCCGCCGCCGCCGTCCTCCTTGAGCCGCGCGTGCACTCTGAAGTCTGCCATGAACTCGTACGCAAGCACCTGTTGTTAGTGATCAGCCATATAGCCATTAGTGATCGACAGCTAGTCAGCCACGCACTCGTACACGCGAGCACATCGTTGGCTCGCTCCGCGCCGACGCCGGGCAGAGTCGAGACGAACGCTTGCGAGGCCTGAGAGTGGAGAGACGCAGCCGGTCGGGGGATATGCAGAACTGATCTCCCCAGGGTTCACCTCCACTGTGGCACGGGATCCCCTACCCCCAGGGAGTGGGAACCCGCAGTGGACCGTCCCACTAAGCATATTGCAATATGCAGCCGTTCCTCGGCGAACCTCGGCGAACCTCGGCGAACCTCGGCGAACCTCGGCCGAAGAGGCGGGGCCTGTCTGGGCCGATCTCGGCGGAGCTCGGCGGAGCTCGGCTCTCTGCAGCGCCCCCGGGCCAATCTCGGGTCAATCTCGGGTCAATCTCGGCTAACCTCCGGGGTCAATCTCGGGTCAATCTCCGGTCAGTCTCCAGTCAACCTCGGGTGCATCTCGGCTAACCTCCGGGGTTGGGCTGTTGTCGACGCAATGCGTGCCGAGCACGTAGAGCCCGCCCGGCAGCAGGCCCAGCGCTGCCTCGGGCGCCGCGCCGTTGAGAGACCGCAGAGCCTGCACCGGGAGATGTGGGGGAGGTGTGGGGAGGTGTGGGGAGGTGTGGGGAGGTGTGGGGAGGTGTGGGGAGGTGTGGGGAGGTGAGGGGAGGTATGGGGAGGTGTGGGGAGGTGTGGGGAGGTGTTAGCAGTGCCTGCAGCCGAGAGAGCCCAGTTGGGCCGAGACAGATATAGCCGAGGCAGAGCCGAGATTGTGCCGAGATCAATCGCAGCGCCTGCACGGCGCAGCCCACGCCGCAGAAGAGGAGCCGCCTGTTCACAGCCGACGCGGTGTGAACAGACGCCGTTCACAGCAGCCCACGCCGCAGAGGAGGAGCCGCCGGATCGACTCGTCTGCAGCGACCTCGTCGAGCACCTGTTCACAGCCGCGGCTGCTGTGAAGAGACGCCGTTCGCAGCAGCGCCGTGAGGAGCGTGTCTGCGCTCGGATGGTCTCGACGGATTTGATCTCGACATATCTCGACCGGCCTCGGCGGATATCGGCCGATCTCGAGCGATCTCGGCGGATCTCGGCGGATCTCGACTCATCTCTACTCATCTCGGCGGACGTCGGCGGATCTCGGCGGATCTCGGCGGATCTCGGCGGATCTCGTCGGATCTCGGCGCCTCCAGCGACGGGCACAGCGACGGCTTGACGCGCCGTCCCTGCAGCACCTCTTCCGCGCTGCGGCAGAGAACCTGCTCGCAGCGCGGGGCTGTGAAGAGACGCTGTTCACACACGCCTCTGCTGCGAGGCGGCATCTCACCTGTTCGTAGGGCGGGCCGCTGTGAGGTGACAGCGCACAGCAGACAACTACGACCTCCGCAGCGACGCGGCAACTCACCGGCTTCGGAGAACCGAAGCCCGAGCCGGCCGCCTGGGCGCCGGTAACCACGACGGCATCCACCTCTGCTCTCTCGAGCCAGGCGAGGGCGATGCCTACGGGACGCGCACTGCTCGTCTGCGACGGTCAAGCCGAGGCGTGTGCTCGAGGAGAGCGAGAGAGGCGTCGCTCGCCGGTGGCGACGCCCGTCCACTGAGCGTTGTTCAGGAAGCCGCGCGCGAGGACGATCTCTTCGTGCACGCCAAAGTGAGCCTCGTCAAGATCGTCGGCGGCGGCGTCGAAGCGGCGTGCTCGGCCGTGCACCGGCTCCTCGAGCCGCTCCGCTCTTGCCATGCCGTCGCCGATGAAGGCGCACGCCTCCGTGACGGACGTGACGCCCGTGGCGCTGCGGCAGAGGCCGCAGTTGGAGCAGAGGTCCTTGGCCGGAAAGGCCTGAGGCCACGGGCCAGTGATTGGCCTGGCATTGCTCGCAACAGACAAGAGCAGCGAGAAGAGCGACATTGTTCAGAAAAAAGAAAACAGTCGCGACGCTCTCGGTTTCATTACAAAATCGGAGTCGCGCAAGGCGAAAGAAGCTGCGAGAACAAGGGACCGGCAGGCGGCGGCGTCGCAGGACGAGGCAGAAGAGAACGACGCGACAGAGGAGGAAGTGACAAGGGAGAGAGAGAGAGAGAGAGAGAGCTCTCTCTCTCTGACAAGGGAGAGACCGACGAGAGTGGGACGGCCGCGAGGTGGCATGAAGGTTGCAGCGAGAAGCGGCGAGAGACTGCGAAAAGAGATACGAAGAGGCAGACTCCCCAGGGTGGGCGACGGCTAGCGCATCACACTAGCGTGAGGACCTCTGCAAGTGAGGCCTCTTGCGGCAGAGAGTGATGACGTTTGTGACGCGGCTGCCGGTTGAGCTAGGGAGCCTGGCGATGGACGCCACCGCGACCCCTCGTGGCATCTCTCTCGCCGTCGGCGAGCTAGGGGCTCACGGACGGCCGACTTTTTATATGACCAGTAGGACAGCCAGTAGGACGAGCTAGGGGCTCGCGGACGGCCGAACGGGGTTGGTCCTGCAACGGCGTCTCGTGCGGAGCAGTGGTGTGCTGTCGCGCGAGTGTTGCAGGCGGGGGTCGAGGGACCTTCCCCTTTGCAATTAACAATGCTTTGGAATCTATGTGTGGACATGACCTCGAGTGGAGCCCCAGTCCGTTACCGTTGGCTCTGGTGCATGTGCCGGTGCGTTTTTTTGAGAGAGAGAACCAACAAGAAATCACGACTCTCACAGTCGTTTGTGCCTGTGTGCTAGGCTAGCGAGTAGCGTAGGAACAAGTCAACATCGGGACGAACGACGAAACATTAGGGCGCACAGAAGTCTTCGTCAGCTGCAAAAAGCTGCAAAAATTCAGAGCACAAGCAAGGGGTCATGTAGTCCCCTCAGACGCTGACGTGATCGCTTGTCATGTGTGGCGCAGATTCTCTTTCTCTTTTACCTGTGTTAGTGCCAGTCGCGCCAGTCCCGTGCCGCCGTGTTTCTTTAGAAAGAAAGAAAGAAAACAGACAACGCCGGCAAGGGAGGGATGGGAGGACGGCACGCCGCCACCACACAGGGATTTTAAGGAGAGGAGTGTGGTGCTAGCCGTCGCCCACCCTAACCCTTGGGCGTCTGCTTCTTCCTATCTCTCTTCGCAGTCCCTCGCCAATTCTCGCTGCAACCTTCATGCCACCTCGCGGTCGTCCCACTATCGTCGTTCTCTCTCCTGTCGCTTCATCCTCTGTCGCGTCGCTCTCCTCTGCCTCGTTCTGCGACGGCGCCGCCGCCTGCCGCTCCCTTGCTTCTCCTGCCTCTCGGCGGTGTTTCTTTTGCGCAGCGAATTCTTTTTCCCACCTAAAATTCTTTTTCTCGCGATGTCTGCCCCGCCGCGCCGCCGCTCGCGCAGCCTCGCGCCCGCTTCCACCGCCACTCCCTCGCCAAGCACGCCGCCGTCCACCCGCCTCCTCGACCTCCCCACGGAGCTCCTCGTGCGCGCCATCTCTCGCTGCGACCCCGCCGACATCGCTCGCGCCGCGGCCGTCTCGCTGCTCTTCCACGCCTCGCTCGCGCTTGAGGGCATCCGCTTGTGGGCGCAAGAGCGCGGCTTCGAGCTGCCGGCGCAGCCAGAGGGCGAGGGCTGCGCCGTGCGGTGGCTGTGCTTTGCTGCGCTGCTGAGCGAGTCCAACCCGCCGGCGAGGGTGGCGGCAGGCGAACATCACAGCATCTTTGTCGACGGCGAGGGGCGGCTCTCGTCGTGCGGCACGGCGCCGGCCTGGACTCCAGCGCTGCTCGGGCACGGCGAGGGCGTGACGCGGCTCAACACGCCGACGCGCCTCCCCTCGGCGCTGGTCGACGAGCGCGCCGTGAGCGTGTCGGCGGGATGGGCGCACAGCCTCGCCCTCTCCGCCGACGGAGCTGTCTGGAGCTGGGGCGCTGGAAGCCACGGCAAGCTGGGCCACGACAATTGGCAGAACCAGCTGCTGCCCAAGAAGGTCGAGGCCTTGGCGGGCCAGCGCGTCGTCGCTGTGTCGGCGGGAGCATTCCACAGCCTCGGCCTCACCGCCGACGGCGCCCTTTGGAGCTGGGGCGGGCCAGCCGAGGGCCGGTTGGGCCACGGCGACCACCAGCGCCAGCTGCTGCCCAATAAGGTCGAGGCCTTGGCGGGGAGGCGCGTCGTCGCTGTCTCGGCGGGATTCGCGCACAACCTCGCCCTCACCGCCGACGGCGGTGTCTGGAGCTGGGGCTGGGGCTTTCAAGGCCGCTTGGGCCACGGCGACCAGCAGAACCAGCTGCTACCGAAGGAGATTGAGGCCTTGGCTGGCCAGCGCGTTGTCGTCGTGTCGGCTGGAGGCGCCCACAGCCTCGCTATCACCGCCGACGGCGTTGTCTGGAGCTGGGGCGGTGGAACCTATGGCAAGCTGGGCCACGGCGACCAGCAGCGCCAGCTGCTGCCCAAGAAGGTCGAGGCCTTTGCGGGCAGGCGCGTTGTCGCTGTGTCCGCTGGGAATTACCACAGCCTCGCCCTCACCGCTGACGGCGCCGTCTGGAGCTGCGGCGAGGCAGCCGAGGGCCAGGTGGGCCACGGCGACACGCAGAGGCAGCTGCTGCCGAAGAAGGTCGAGGCATTGGCTGGCCAGCGCGTCGTCGCTGTGTCGGCGGGAGAGCGGCACAGCCTCGCCCTCACCGCCGACGGCGCCGTCTTCACGTGGGGCAAGGGCGGCCACGGCTGCCTGGGCCACGGAGAGGACCTGTCGGACCACCTGCTGCCCAAGAAGATCGAGGTGTGGGCGCCGGGGCAGTGATGAGAAGGGCGAAAGTGCCCAAGGCTCTGTGTGTCCGTCCGGGCCGCCGCCACCTGCGAACGTATCCGAGAGAGGAGAGAGGCGAATCCGCGCCGACCGCCGACAGAGGGGGGGGGGTATGCAAAAAAAGCACCCTGGTCCCCCCCTAGACAGCCATGCCCATGGATGCATGAAAGGATATTTTACAAAATAAAAGCGCGGCTCAGCAGTGCGCACGGACCGCACGCCGCGATTCACACGACTCACTGCGTGCGGCCCTTCCCAGGCATTCAGTCTAGCCCGCACTTTTGCGCGGCCGTCATCGGTTCGACCTCGACCATGTCCAACGCCGGCTTGCCATACTCGGCGAACGCCGGCCCTCCCACCCGCACGAGCGCCTATGCGCACAAGTCGCGGACACGGTCCTCACCGGACGTGCCGTGACTCGGGTCCGGCCGTCCTCGCGCGGAAAGGTTCTGTCGCGCCCGTCGCACGCCCCTCGCCGCCGCGGGCGGCAGGAGCGCCTCGGGAAGCCGCGAGAGGCGGCCGCGGCGCCGCACGAGGCAGAGGGCGACGAGGGCGAGGAGGGCAGCGGCCGCGGCGATCGCCGCCGGCAGCGGCTCGATCAGGACTGGAGGGGCCAGCGGCGGCGGGGCAGACGGCGGAGGCGACGGAGGCGGCGTCAGCGGCGGCGCGGGCGGACGGCCCGGAGGGGCGGACGGCGGCGGCGACTGGGGCGGCGGCGGCGGCGAGGGCGGCGGCGGCGAGGGCGGCGACGAGGGCGGCGCTGGGGGGAGGGAGGGCGAGAGCGGCGGCGGCCGTGGCGGCGGCCGTGGGGCGATGCAGGTCCCGCACTCGTCTGGAAACTCGGTCCCGACCTGATGGGGGGGGAGGGGGGGGGGAAGCGGGGCATGTAGACACAGTGGCGGCTGTCTCCAGGCGCCAGGTCGGGCGGGGCAGGGAGGGTCCGAGCTATCCCCCGGTTTCGAGCTGCGGGGGGGGGCTAGGTCCTCCGGAGGAAGACGGCAGGGGGGCCCTGCTCTGTCTTGCACCGATCGACCTCCGAGCAAGGCCCCCCGGAGCGCACGCGCTGGGGGAGGGGCGCGGCGAACCTGCACGCACGCGGCGCTCTCGTCCTCGCCTTTGGAGGTGACGAGGAACTCGATCCGACCGCCTATTCGCACGGATGTGGTGTGAAGATTCGCTGCTCGCAGCTCGGGCCGCTTGCACGGCCGTTTCATCGAGCCTGTGTTAACACACACACAGACGCGTGAAGAGGCGCTGTTCAATGCTCGTCCTTGGGCGCAGCTTGGTCCGCGAGCCGCAAGTGTGGCCGTCCGCGGAGGTCTGCAGCACAGCGCTGTCGCAGCCGCACCACTGCCGAGCGCGGAAGAGGCTACAGGAAGGTTCAGAGACGATGCAAAGAGTCAGGCTCGAATCGCCGTACCGCAGCAGCGGCAGCAGTGGCAGTCGCCCGCGCAGGACCGCCTCCGTGTCGCGCGGCCGGAGCACGTCGATCGGGTACTCGGCCGGGGCCGCGTAGAAGCCTGGCCAGGTGTAAGAAGGGCTGCAGTGGTGAGAGGCAAGGAGGGCGCGAGGGCTGAGCTTGGCTCGTCACGGTCTGAGAGGCAGGCGGGAGCCCCGGCGCATCTAAGGCAGTCGACGCCTTGCTGCAGCCCCCGCCAGGCGACGGCTCTGCCGCTTCCGGGCTCGAGCTGGTACACCCCGAGCAGCGTCTCGCTCTTGCCCCAGATGACCTTCCACGCCTCGTCGCAAAACTCGAACCAGAACAGGCCGAGCGGTGCACCTGATCATACCACCGCACGCCGCCCTGACCACAAGCTCCTCTGTGGCACTCTCGCACGACCGCGGCCCGCAGATTGAGGCGCGCCGTCGTACCGATCCGTGCACGCGTGGACTTGCGCCGCGTAGCCAGACGTGTCGGGCGTTAGCTGCTTCTCGCCCACAAGGTGCTGGTCGCCTTGCGCGGGGCGGGAAATACGCCGGGGACGCGTCATAGAGGGGACGGCCGCGGTGCCGGTCTCCCCCTCACAGTGCTGGTCTCCGTTGGTGTCGCCCCGACCTCTCACTGCGAAGACGTCTCATCGCCTCGGCTTCAGATCTCTCGGCTACATCTCGGCTAATAACATGTTGCCGATCTCGGTGACGAGCGTGTCGAGGGCGGCGAGGTGGCCCATCCCCGCCCGACGCAGCGAGCCCGCCAGGTTGAGATGCAAGTTCTCCGGCACCTACTCCCATGCCGTCAGGACTGGAAGCAGCTCATTCATCGCCCAAGACTGAAGCGCTGCCTCTGGGGTGCCTGATCCGAAGAAGCCAGAAAGCTGATTGACTGGTTCGTTGCCACAGAGGGTTTTGTTACTGCGGCTCCGAGTGCCGGGCTCGAGCCGAAGACGTCGCGACGGAGGACGACGCCGTCGATATACGTCTGCACGCAAGTGATCTGTTCACGGCCGCATCCAATGTGAAGACACGTAATTGACAGAAAGCCGAGGAAGTGTCCACAGATTGAGGTTACCAGCCGCGCACGCGCCACCTCCTCGCCGAGCCGTGTCCAGAAGGCTGAGTAGACGTCGCACAGGAAGCCGCCGGGCAGCTCGGGGCATCGGAATGTGGCTCTGACGGCGAAGGAGACTGGCGAGCCGATCGCAGGGAGAGAGGCCTCTGGCCAGCCCGCCGCCCTCTCCGCCTGCGGTCGGCGGGGGGACGGGCGAGTGGGGTGCGAGGGCAGAGTCGCGTCGTCCCCGCAATTTATCACCCGCCTCTACAAGATCGGACGCCACCCCGGCCAGCTCGTCCGCCATCCGCCTATAGCCCGAGAGAGCAGCCGAGTCCGCATAGATCATGCCGAGATATCAGCCAATTCTCGTCTGCGTCATCACACCTCGCCGCCGCCCTCTCGTCGCCGCCGAGGCCAACCTGCAAATTTGGAAAGGATGTGATGTATCTATAGATATGTGTGTGTGTTGCGTGCGTGCGTGCTTACACCTGCAGGTCCTCCTCGTTCCCGACCAGCCAGACCCCGATGACGTCCGTAAAGTCCTTGGCCTCCGCCACCACCGCCTCGAGCGCGGCACGGTCCCACGCGCCGCGCCGGAACGAGATGGCCACCATCAGGCCGAGCGAGCGGAGCTCGGAGAGGAAGGCGCGGTGGCCGCCGAGCCGCGCCTGGTCCGGGCTCCAGTTGTACACACGGATGAAGTTGCAGCCCAGCGCTGCGATGCGCCGCAGGTCGCCGCGCCCGCTCGACGACCACTGCGAGGCGGGGCGAAGGGCGTCGAGAGAGGTTAGAGACGTGGTCGAGAGTGCAGCGGCGGGGATGGCGGACTATGTTGAAGATGGTGGCTTTCTGAAACCCGGGACGGCGACTGCCGGCGAGCGTGATTGCATGCACGCATGACCTGACGCTATCGAAAAGCCAGGACGGCGACAGGCGGACAGTCACGCTTGCTGGCGATTGGTGGCGGTGGCGGCTATCGCATGCACCTGCGGCGCAAAATCGTCGGAGAAGAAGTCGCCGTCCCAGAAGAGCTCCGGCTTGAATGCGGGCATCGGGCGGCCATACAGCTTGGAGGCGTATGTGTGCGGGTGTGGCGCGTAGTTGATTCCGATCACGGGCGAAGGGAGAGCGGTGCGAGCGACCATCGCAACACTGCCGAGCACACAGCTTCCATAATCATCTCGAGAAAAAGAAAAACAGTTACGCCACAGTTGAAGCGAGGAAACAGGAGAGATATTACCAATTGACTTGTCGAACGCCAATGCGCACAAAATGAGCCAAGTAATCGATGTATGGCGCTCACCGCATATGGACAAACGACATAAACGATGCACAAACGATGCACAGCTCAGCATAAACGACTGCTGTCAAAAGGAGAGTCGATCAATCCTAACAAACAAATCTCTCTCTCTCAATCCTTCCTCCGCTTGCGGCGCGGATGCGTCGCGCCTCTTGCGGCATCTTCCTGCTGCGCTCACCGATACTCGAGCACAAACTGCCCCCGACTCGCCGTGCGAGGTAGTCCGAGGTAGCTGCAGGGCCGATCCAACTAGTGTCAGACACATCAACGGTCGGCTGGACGTCCTCAGATCACAGAGGTCCTCACTACGGAGGGGAGCTCGGCGTGCTGCGAAAAAAGAGAATTAGAGAAACACTCGCGCGCACAACAGTGAAAAAAATCACTACGGTAACACAGGAAAACGAGCGACCATTGCAATAACAATGAAGCAACAAGCTAGAAAAAGAAACCCGAGCATCTTTAATCCAGCTGGATCAATCATGCGGCACCGGGGGAGTCGTGGACGCACAAACGACAAGCACATGACAAAAAAATCTCTGTATGGAAAAAACAGCTGCCACCGGCGACAAGCACAAAACAAAACAAGCACATGTACATGCACATATGTCAAAAGGAGAGTCGATCAATCCTTCCTCCGCTTGCGGCGCGGATGCGTCGCGCCTCTTGCGGCATCTTCCTGCTGCGCTCACCGATACTCGAGCACAAGCTGCCCCCGACTCGCCGTGCGAGGTAGCTGCAGGGCCGATCCAACTATCAATGATAGTGGCAGACACAACGGTCGGCTGGAGGTCCTCAGATCACAGAGGTCCTCACTACTAGGGGGGGTGGGGGGGGGGGGCTTGTGATCCGCCACCCTAGCTTACGATGGATAGTATCTTTACGCCCAGGCAGGGACAAACATCTAAAGCTAAGGGAGACTCGCCGATCTCGATGCCAGCAGTGCTCACCAAGACGTCCTCATAAATCAAGCGTGTGGTCGGCTCATGAGAGGTCCTCACTCAGCTTCAGAGGTCCTCATCCTTTCGACCACGCTCTCTCCTGCTGGCGCATACTGAAAGGCAGCGCACCTCCTCGGCGCACGTTCCAGCCCTCAGAGGGCCAAAACTGTCGTGAGAATGTGAGTCCGTTGACCCCAATCCTCATGAAGCAAGCTCAAGGCTCATGAAGCAAGCTCAGGTATGACAATGGGAGCTGCTCCTAGATTCAATCGCCGTCGAGGAGCAATCAGATGTGGGTTGTCTTGTGTGTGCGTTGTCTTGCGCCGTCGTCATTTTTTTAAGAGTGAATCTTTAATGAAATGTTGTCATTGCATTTTTCTAGATATGTGCGGCCTTCCTCGCAACACTTGCTAAAAATCTCTCAACATCGACCCCCCAGTGATATCTTAAATTGGTGAAGTAATTTCTTCTGCAATAACGACGTGACTGTGTCTCTGTGCGATTTCGGGATTGTTGGTTTATGATCTTTGACTTTGTGAACGGCGGCTGAACGCCGTTTCCACGATGGATGCGAATTCTGTGGTGAAGACTCAAGAGGTCGTCGGCGCCTGGACGGGCTGGGACACGCTCCCCCCGAACTGTTCCGGCCCAGTCGTCGAGGACGAGTGGCGGCACGACTACCTCCTGCGCCTCGAGACGGGAGAGATCTTCCAGCTCAAGGCGCGCGCGCCGGAGTCGTCGGCTCACGCTCGCTCCAGAGACAGCACTCTCTCGTGCACGCGAGCCGGAGGGCTGCAGTGCCGCGGGCCCATGCGTAGCACACAAAACAGAGTGCGTGAGCTTCGGATCGCCTGCGCCATGTATGTCTGTATGTCGCAGCGCACCACACCGCCACGCCGACAGCCACGACTGACCTCCTCTCCTCTCCTACTCGGCTCGCAGAAGCCCCCGCCGCCAAAGAAGCTGCCGAACGGCAGGACGAAGCGCATCATCACGAGCCGTGCAGGCGCAGCACAGCCGCGCGCACTCACACACAGCCACACACGCACACACACACACGCGCGCACACACACACACACACACGCACGCACACATGCACGGCCAAGCCGCCCTAGCCGCGTAGCACACTGCCGCTAAGTCGAGCCGCGATGACGCCTCTCCGCGCCTTGCGTGCCATGCGAGCAGGCAGCATCTACCGCGGGCTTCTCACGGCGGCGCGTGCCGAGGGAGCGAAAGGCAAACCGCGATGATGTCCTCCTCGAAACACGGTGCATCAGCCTCCCGTGAACCTTCCGAGAACTTTCCTCTCCAGGCACCGTCCTCATCCACACGGCGGACGGGTGCCGCGAGGAGCGGCCGGTGCCGCACTTTGCAAACTGCCGCCTGGCGCGGCTCGGAGGCCACCAGGCCGGCCCTTCGACGCGAGTGGTGCTGTTGGCTTTTAGCCTGCGGACGACTGGGTGTGAACGGCGTCTCTTCACAGCTCGGGTGTGTGTGAGCAGGTGTGGCCGAGCCTGCGCTGACGACCGGGTGTGTGTACGGCGTCTCTTCACAGCTCGGGGGCGTGTGAGCAGGTGTGGCCGAGCCTGCGGATGACCGAGGCCGAGGCGTGGCAGCGCTCCTCGCCCTTCTTGGGCGCCGAAGGCCCCTCGGCCATTCCGTGGGAAGCGCGCAAGCCGCAGGCGGACTGGCCGAATGCACGCTAATACTCTTGTCTATATTTGGGCTATCTCCCCCCATTCCTCGGGGCTGGCATTGGTTCCACCCCCCCCCCCCCCCCTTCTTCCAGGCGGTCTGGCGCGGCGACTGGAACGGCACCCCCGCCGAGAGACCAGCAGTAGTAGAGTAGCCACACCTGTCCACTCAGCCGAGGCACCACTCTCTGTAGCCGCACCCTCAGGGGCAGGCGCCCTCACCCTCACCCTTCTCCTTCCCCCGGAACCCTCTCCCGGACCCTTCCCTTCCCGCACCCTTCCCGGACCCTTCCCTTCCTCTAGGCCTCGACCGGCCGCACTCGAACCGCGCCGCGCTCGTCGCGAACTACAGCGGCAGCCACATCGCTCCTCGCACCCCTCGGAGTACTAATCTACCTCGAAGCACCGTGTTTGATGACTGTGTGGCTGCTACACAGGCACTCCCACCGCCTCCTCGGTCGTTGGCCAAACGAAGCAGTGAAGTAACACGAGGGAGCCTCTTTTGAACGAACCAGGCACAACCCGCTCCTCGAGCAATCATGTTATATCAGTCCTCCACCGTCAACACGCAAGGAAGACCATGGAACCCCTTCAACTACAGGCAACCCGCTCTTCGATGTCGGCTTCGTGCGGCCCGGCAGCGACACGAACATCAACCGCGCCTGCCGAGCCATGTCGCACCTGCTGCCAATCAACTGGCCGGTTAGTCTCTCTCCCCATCTCTCCCCATGTCTCCCCATATCTGCTGCCAATCAACTGGTCGCGGCGCCGAACACAAGGCGGAGGACCAACCCTTGTGCGGCGCCCCTTGGCGGTCACTTTTGCGGTGGCGTGCGCGTGTGTCAGGCGCTCGGCGGCAGCGTCGACCAGCAGATCGCAAACTGCAAGGCGATCTGGGGAGATACGGGGAGATACGGGGAGATATGGTGGGGGATATGGTGGGAGATGTGGTGAGATCACTGCCTGCCGCTTGCTGCAGGCGGCGCTGCGGGCACTGGAGCCGAAGGGCTCGCTGACCACCGCCGAGCAGGCCCTATATCTCCCCACATCTCCCCATATCTCCGCCAGTCTCTCCCCAGATCTCGCTGACCACCGCCGAGCAGGCGCCCCGCGAGTGATCTCCCCATATCTCCCCCATGCCTCCTCCCCATATCTCCCCGGAGCAGGCGCCCCGCGAGCTGAGTGATCTCCCCATATCTCCCCCATGCCTCCCCATATCTCCCCGGAGCAGGCGCCCCGCGAGCTGAGTGATCTCCCCATATCTCCCCCATGCCTCCCCCCCATATCTCCCCGGAGCATGCGCCCCGCGAGCTGAGGACGAGAGGATGTTGAGTGATCTCCCCATATCTCCCCCATGCCTCCCCCCCATATCTCCCCGGAGCAGGCGCCCCGCGAGCTGAGGACGAGAGGATGTCGAGGATGCACCGACGAGAGTCAGACCCTCTCGCCAGCCTCGACTGACCGGCCGGGCCGCGAGATGATGATGGTGATGCCAAGGTAGAGAGTCAAAGAGCAACGGTATGGCCACTCTACTGCCGACAGGCGGGCTACAAGATGGTGTTGGTCCTCGAGGGCAACGGCGCCGCCTCCTGCTCCAAGCACATGCCGCGGGGGCCCTCGCCTCATCACAACCGACAGAGCTAATGGTTGAGTACCGACAGGCGCCGCCTCCTCCATGCCGTGGGTAATAATTAAAAAATGGTGATAATAACTAACTAACTCACTAATTAATAATGAGTAGGCGCCGCCTCCTCCATGCCGTGGGTCCTCGCGGCTTGTTAATTAATCACTAACCACTAACCATTAATTAATAATGAGTAGGCGCCGCCTCCTCCATGTCGTGGGTCCTCGCGAGCGGCAGCACCGCCCTCATCCCCACACCGACCAGCGCCGAGGTCGACTCGCTAGCAACTGTGAAGCGACTGGCTAGCCGTTGCCCAGCACGACTACTGCCTACTCAAGCGACTACTCATTATTAATTAATTAATTAGTTGACTACTACCTCAAGCGACTCTCCAAACGCACGACTACTGACGCATGGCCCAATTGTAGAGTGGTGACGCTGCAGCGCATGGCTAGGGCTAGGGCTATGGTCAGGGCTAGGGTTAGGGTTCGGGTCCTGGCCAGGTGTGGGTTGGCTCGCTCGCTCGACCCGGCGTCCACTACCTCCCGCTGAAGCAAGACCTGTCACTAATAACAGTAGTTAACTATGAATTATTATTAATTAATAGGCGTCCACTACCTCCCGCTGAAGCAAGACCTGTCCGACGCAGCCGACAAGGCGGCAGTGGCGCTTGAACCGCAACGGAGCCAGAGTCACTCATTCTTAAATCATCCCACGTCAGCAGGCGGCAGTGGCGCGTGAACCGCAACGGAGCCGAGTCGCCCATTCTTCATCGATCATCCGTCCTTAGCAGGCGGCGTGGTGCGTGCGCAACGGAGCCGAGTGCGGCGCCATCGCGGCGGCGGCGCACGCGCTGATGCGGGGTGACTTGCTTCCTCCCTCCTTAC